TCACCCATCTCCTACAGCTTCAAAAATATTATAGCCAAGGGCTCTGAGATCTCCTCTGCCAGTTCCTTCAGTACCCTGGGATGAACTCCATCAGACCCTGCTGATTTGAATCCATTCAGACCCATCAAAAGCTCCCATGAGTTTCTTTTGTAATCTCATCCCTTAGCACATTCCCTTCCTTACCCAAATAAATCTTACATCTAGCTTGTGAAGAGGGTTTGTGGCTGAAAATCTCCCATGGCAATAGGTACCTAACTATTGCAGCTTCCAAGGTATAACTTGGAATTTTGGTGCCCTGGGCAGCATGGAGAGCAAACACTTACCTCTTCATGTAGGGGCAGTGGTGTAGCCTGCTGCTACCCAAGCACAAGCTCCCCAAATACAGGCTGCTCCTGTGGCAACAACAGGGCCTCCCTCAGGGCTGCCACTCTGAATCTGTGCCAGGGGGCTGGTGCTCCACTCCCCCTGCCTTCAGGTTATGCTACTACTACTCAGCATTGAAGAATCTCCCACCCCAGGCCCCACAACCCCAGGGCTCAGGTTGGGAGATAAGGATGTCCCAACCGCTGTTCCCCGATCATGAAGCACAGGCTGGGAGCTCCCTGCTGCCAGGGCAGGGGGACACAGTCCCTGCCCGGGCTCTGGTGGTGGAGCCTGCCCCAGCAGGAGGCAGCTCCCAGGGGCAGAGAACAATCTCCCACCTCCTGCTGCCTGACTGACAGGGAGCACATTTGCTCCTGGTCAGGCATCTATATGTGTGCTGCTGCACAGTAAGTAATCAAGAGTAAATCTGCTACTTGAATTTGCAGCTAGCACATTTATAATTAGAGCAAATTACCGTGCAGTAAGTGTCTGCATGTGTAGACAGTGATGCTTACTGCACAGTAATTAGCTCAAATCTTGAGTAAAACATCTCCTGTAGACACTCCCAGTAAGAAGTACTTTAGTACACTTTATGTATGACATTTGCTTCTGGGAATATTTCCTACTTCAAGGGTTTAGTCATTTCCTACTATTTGTACTTAGCCCATAGTTTTAGGAGTCCCATTCTAGGTAGGACTCAAAATTAGGATGGATTTAGCACAATACTAATCCAACCTCAATAATACACTGCTCATTTATGGCTAGTAGCGTAACCTGTTAACCTTAAAAACTCTATCATGAACAAACAAATACCCTCTTGAAGATAATAGCTGATTGCAGGGCAGATTTCAGCATTTGAAACTAAGGGATCAGGCATATCACCAACCAGATGTGGTTTTTAATAGGCTCAATCCTGCAAGCATTTATGCACTTGTTTTACTTTACAGATGTGACTAGTCCAATTGACCACAACAGGACTTTTCACATGCAGGACTTTTCATAGGATCAAAGCCTGATTCCGTTAAGCACTTTGGGCCCTGCAAGAAGCCCAGTATACAGCCATATATTTTAAATGGAAACATTGTTGTTAAAAGAAAATGTTTGAGTTCCTATCTTTCACACAAGCAATTGTTAAATATTGTATCTGATTTCTACTTATTAAAACAATCATCCCTTCTTTCTTATTTCTTTTCCAAGACAAATCTTAATCTATTAATCTACAAACCAGTACCCTGAACCAAAAAGATCTCATGTTCATCTACAAGGACCAAGTAGATTCATCTCCTCACCCATTGTGAATAGGTATTTCAAAATGTGTGATACAGGGACACCTAGGCCTAACAGGGAGCGAGTTTGGGATTATGCTCAGGTTTTGAAATGGGGGGGGAGGGGGATGTCTCAGGGTGGCTGAACCTCTCCCCGTAACAGCCCCCGAAAAGCCCCCCCATAAAAGACAAGAGACCCTGGCCCACCCCAGACCTTTTTAAGCAACTCAGGTGGCAGAGGCAGCAGCTCCTTCTGGTTTCCGGCTGCCACCACCACAGATTTCCCCCACAGGAGTCCAAGTGTAATTCAAACACTGATTATGCTCTGCTGTCAAATCACTTGAGCTACTCTTTTCTCTGAGCTGATTAAAGATGATAAATAAACATCGGAAAGACAGAGTTTTCCAAAATGAGGCACAGGTATTGGCGTATGTCCCTCAGAGATCACATTCAGGGGCCACAGAAGGAGCTTTACTGTGGATACTTGCTAGCCTGAACTCTATCTCTTAAATTAGTACTATTTCTTGCTATTCAGTGTCGTAATCTATATTTGTTTGGGCTAATCTCTACTTGAAATGTTTTCTGATGTTTAGCTTATCTTCTCTTCTTTACTGTGAATGTGTGTAGCAGGTAGCTGATTAAAAATGATATAGAAACAACACCAGAAAGACAGTGTTGTCCAAAATGAGGCACAGATATTGGCATATGTCCCTCAGGGATCATCAGCTTTAATCAGATCAAAGAAGAGTTGCTCAAGTGGTTGGTTTGTTTTTTTTAATGTTCCTTTAGTTGTTATCAGAAAGGAGACCTAAAAATAAAAATCTAAATCCAAACTAGTTTGCTGAATGCCTCTATTAATAAGGGTGTCAGAAATAGATAAATATTGAGCAAATAAAGGACTAATTCAGGGAATATCTATCTATCTATATATATTCACTTTTTGAGAAAATTTCCCTCTGTGACATCTATCAGCATTTTCTGGGTTGATTTAATAAAAAAAAAAATTGCAGAAAGCAGAATTGTTCTATAACATCACCACTGTTATATTTTATGCTATTTTAAGTGCCAGTGACCCATACAGCTAACATGATAGAACAATGCTTTTTATTGATCTCTGATCTGTTGAAGCCTCACCACATGACAATTTGGTCAGTCTGGTCCAAATAGCATTTCATCTATCATTTACTCATGGGGCACTCCACAGTGAGACTGTCAGATATTAGGCTGAATGAGTATTATGCTGAATGAGTACCTGTCTTACAGCTGTTGTGGATCTGCATTAGCAAGTATACAACAAATATACCTGCAAAAGTAATTACAACATACTATCCATAGATTATGCCCATTTAAGTCTTTCTACCACCACCAAAAAAGCCAGAAGTACTTATGATGTAGACTCTCCGCTTTTTCATGTTTAGGTCCTCACGCAGTAAACTACATGAGCATCTATGTAGCTTTTTAAATATTTGTCCATTGTCCTCAGTGGAAATACTCATGCTTAACATTACACACCCACATAAGCCTATTGGCGGATTAAGACTTGTTTAAAGCTCTAAAAGGCAAACATGTGGAAAGACCATTTTTACTTACAGCTGTAAATTAGCATAAAATGTATAATTCAGATTTTTCAATAAAGGACTTGACTCAAAGCAGAGATCTTTTTTATATTTGGAATCACCTGTACTAGAGAAATGTATGTACTATTAGTCTGGACAACTAATTTCTGCTTATCCAAGTCCAAGTTTCCAGCACCAATACCTCAAACACACAGACTGCTCACACTATCTTAACTGAGGGAGGAAAGTTTGAAAAACATGGCCCAGGACTCGGTCTTAATTGACATGCACTGCTTCATTAACTACAACTTAATTAATTTAATATAAAATGGATGTGCAAGCCTAGAAAAAAGATCCAATTCCACATACACCAATTTAAGCCAGCAACAGCACCATTCAGCTTAATGTTACAACTATGTAAAGGACAGAAGAATCTTTTGGAAAATGTATGAGAAAGGACACAAGCCTCTCTCTCACATGCTTGCTATGAAATAGGGCTAACTGATATTGCCTATGCTAGGAATATAACCCCAAAATTAGAGATGGGGAAGCATTTCTTTTGTCCCCAGCCAAAAGGTTTTTTAACTGTTGCCTTATTCTTACGGGGCAGTATAGCAGCAGAATCCAAAAATCAACACCACAAAGCCCTAGATGCCCGTGAACAAATAGATAGCCATTAAAAATAGATACTTGAAATACATAGATTTTCCATTAGTTACAGAAGTTTTAAGATAGGTATATTTTAGTCCTAACTTTGTACAGAATGGGAATGTCTACAGGAGATACTAACTGCACAGTTGACTAATTAGCTGCACAGTAAACATTTTGGTGTCTACACATGTGACCCAATTAGGCTGAAGTAAACTAATTTATTTCACAGCAGGAAAGCACTTGTATCTACAAGTGCTTTTCTGCTGCAAAGTAAAAAACTCTGCAGCAGTGCATATATAGATGCTGGGGGGGCTGGCTGAGGGATGAGGGTGCTTCAGTGCAGAGGCTGCCAGCCAGCTAGCCCTGCGCTGGAGCCACCCTCATGCCCCAGCCAGCCCCTTCCACAGTATGCCAAGCTGTGGAGTGAAACAGCCCTGGGCTGGCAAACTGAACCCCCAGATCTGCTGCCTGCTGGGGCTGCTCTGTCCCAGCTCAATGTGCTGTGTATGAATAAACTGCAGAATTTATTGCTCTGGAGTTTATTGCTCCCAGACACATCTTTAAATGGCACATCCAGGAGCAATAAGCTCCACACTTTATTCATGTGACAAAATTGCATGTGTAGGCATGCCCAATGAGAATGTTAAAAACTTACAGAATTAAAGGAGCATCATATTAGGTTCTCTAATATTTATATATGAGAAAATAATGCACTCTTCTTTACATTTTACTATGGCCTTCTAACACTGAAAGTGCCTTCTTCAAACACCCACACATCTTTACAGCCACAGCTTGGACTTCCGGAATCAGAGTAAGCATACAGCATCCTTTCTTGACAGCAGTTGTTGTCCAGGGCAATTCAAATATACCAAGCTTTACGTCTAGGCATCCAAAAAAGTAGTCAGGTGCTAGTGAACAAACTATTTTGGTGGCAAGGCATAGCAGAACAACTTTTTTGCTCAGGCTTATTATATGAAAGAAGACCAATAACAAATAGTTACAATATGACTGAAAATATGATTTTTGTAATAAAGAGACAAACATACAAAGATCTTTCATAAAAAACAATAACTTAAAATAACTAAAAAGGTAAAATTACACAGCAGTTTTAAACCTTTCAAAGAAAAAAAAACCTCTCACAGATATAAAAAACTTTTTTTTTTTTATCACATACATTATCACTTAGTTTTCCAGCACAATAGATAAACTAATTTCTATTTTTAGACCTATCCTTCATTCTCTTAACCTATCATGCATTGTTTTTTTTAAGACTGGAAGTTAATTTATTTAAAAATCATGTAAGTCTTTTCATAGCTGATGATGACTTCAAGACTAATGCATCTGTACTTTCAATTACTTGCATATTATGAATAGTAACATAGGCAATTAAAAATACAGGAAACAGTGTCAACACTACTGCATGTAGAAAAAATAAAAATTGTATTTAAATTAAGATTGTCTGCTAGAACAAAATAGGCTTTGGCCTTTGGTTCACAAAAAAAAGAACATATTAAGCATAGTTAGATGTGGGCGACTCCCGAATGTCAAATATTATACATGGTGTTGCATATTTCAGCGCATGCCCAGAATCTGCCTGCTTTTTAATTGATAATTTTTTTCCAATTCACACAGAGCTTGAGCCCGCAGATTGGCAGCATAAAGTCGTTTTTTCAGCTCAGCACATTTTCCTTTCGAGAGAGGATAGTTCTCCAAGTTACCATCAGCTACAATATTCTCTTTCGTTTCCACGCCAAAATGAACTTTCTTCTTTCTTACAGGAAGTGGGAGCATTACTTCATCATCTTGAAGACAGAAACAAAGAAAAGAGCTTTTGGGTATTGTTGAAAGCATTACTCAACATTAGTTTACCAATTCATGTCAAACAGCTTCCAGCTGCATGATCTTTTTAAATTTATTTTTTTTAGATAGCTCTCTTTATGCTTAGTACCCCACCACCTTTCCTTCAAGGGACAGGGATAAGAAATACTAAATATCCTGTTTAAGATGCTAGTCATAGCTTCTAGTTTTATTTTCAGGGGACTTAAGGGTATGAAAAGAACTGTGCACATCATCTTCAGCTGCACAACAGTACACAAGAAGAAGAGACAGTTAGAGAAATCATGTATTTATTTGTTTATTATTCTCCAGGGAGTCCAGGTTCATGATAGAGCAGAAAAAGATAAAAAGAGATTGAGATGTACTTGGATTTGGCTCATAGCAGATAATGACATCCCTCACTTCCCTACTTCTTAAGCTTTGTGATCAGTGGTAGAAGGCAGCTACATGAGCCACAGCCCTGACATTTACTAATTATGTATGCCAAGATGTGAACAGGTACAACTGAAGCCAGACCAGAGAGTTTGAGTTTAGAAACAAAAGTTTAGCTTTACCTATAAACCATGAAGAACTGCAGTCAGTGCTATTACAGGAAGGTTCAGAGTAGGCTTTAAATAACTAGTTCTAAGGAGGGAAAAAATCCTGATCAAGCTGCTGTCAACAGGTACAGCTATGCATGGCTTGTGAACAGTAGGCATTTCTTCTTCCCTAGGGCAGCCTCTTGGTAAGAGGCAATAGTGTCACCTACCACGGGTTTGAGTTCATACTCGTCCCACAGTTAAACTATACACCCATAATAAGATTCTAAGTTTATGGTGGACTGAAAGCTCCTTGAAGGCAGGAGGTGGTATAAGTTTCTGCACACTAACCAGCTATGCTAAATTTGCCCCAATAAGTTTATTACAAACAGATACAGGTATGTATAGGGAAATATGAAGATTGATAGGAGGGTACTACAGCTGTTAAGAATAGGTTACAGTAAAACGATACAGAAGATATTGGAGTAAAATGCTGGTCATGGAATAAATAACAATTCCAGGTTATAAACAAGATATTCAGGGAGGTAAGAGCTGGGAGAATGACAAAATGTACGCAACAAACTCCACATGTCCAGGTTTTTCACTTTTCCAGAATGGCTAGCAGCAATGATACTATAAGAAGCTTTAAAGTCAAGTCAGGAAGTTATATATTAGGGTATGGACACATACTCATGTCAAAAAAAAAAAAAAAAAAAGAGCTGCTGGTCAGGAGCAGACAGCAGCTGTTACATTCTAAACAGGTACCTGTGGACAAGCCCTAAGAAATAAGCATAGCTAAAAACAGCTTCAATTCAACACTGCTTTCTCCTCTGATGAAAGAGCCATTCTTGCTACATTTGCATCTCTATAGGCTTATCTACAGATAGTTCTAGAAATGTTACAGCCGTGCCATAGGGTTCTGAGTAGCTTTTGAAACTACTTTAAAATGCATGGTATCCATATCCATAATGGAACAGTGCCACCGTGAGATTTCTGCTGAACTACCCACAGGACAGATGGAGACAGTAGTATTGAATGGAGCTCCTGCCATCTTGTACCTAGAACATTAGTGTAGACATTTGGAGCAAGATAAAATTCAGAAGCCAGAGACAGGAAAGAGAAAGGAGAAAAGGATTAGCTATTCCTTTATTTATGATCATCTTGACTTGAAGGTTGCAAAGATTTTGTGGATTACTCAAAAGCAATATAAAAGAATGAAGATTAGAAAAAATGTTCTCAGAAGCCATAGTAAATTGATCCCAAGGAGAATAAAAGTTTCCATACAGCAGTGTATTAATTGTAATATTAAAATGGCTCCCATCACTGTTAGCATCCTGATAGAAGTCTAATACAAGTTTTTGGAAGGCAGAAGTGGGGCTGGGGAGCAGGGGGAATTTTCCCTCAGAGTCATGGCTGACTGTGACAGTAAGTCCTCCTGGACACATGGAATGTCCTCCAAGTGTGACATCCCAGGGGAAGAGTTCCTGTTCCCACCCCACCACTCAGAGCACATCTATAAAAATGCCCACAGAGCCTGGAGTGTCACATGCATCAGCATCCCCATGCTGAAAAATGGTGGCAGGGCACTTTTAACTAAAGCTCACATGAGCTTTAAAAAGTGCCCTGCTGACATTTCTCAGCATGGGGATGCTGATGCATGTATTGCAGGAGTCTGCTGGAATGCGGTAATTGCCACTTGATTAAATTGCGTCTGCTCCGAGATGCTGCAGTTACAGCACGTCAGAGCAGCCTCCCTGCATGTGTATAAGAGCCCATTGTTCTACCACAGTGAGCAGTGCATTAGGTTTACATCAGTTAAGCCTTTTTTCAAGAGCATGCCTTCAGTGGGCATGATGGACATTCTCTCACATTTAACTCTGACAAGCAGGGAAATTTACAGTACAAGGGAATTATATCCTCTTCCGTTTTGAATAAAATTAATTCCTCCCATCACCCCTTTTTGAAACTAGAGCAGACCCCCTTTTGAATCACACACACACACACACACCAGAAAAAAAAGGATCGTGACAGATACCATCAAGGCTCTCCACTCAAAAAAAAACAAAAACAAAAAACACACAAAAAACACAAACACAATACATGAACCAATGGCTGAAACCATAAAAAAAAAATCCAAAGATATACTACGTAACATTTATTTAAAATAACGTGATAAAAAAGGTACAGACCTAATTTTCATAATCTGTTCCAAAAAATGGTTTTAAAACACTTTAAAATCCTGCAGCTATCCAGTTAAGTCATGAATTTACATTCTAGTACCTCCTTGTCACCACAAATTTGTAGGTCAGGCTGTATTAACAAAACAAATAATGTCAAAGTTCATAGTAAAAGCCCCCATTCCATACAGTCTTCACAAGGATGAATAAAGCCGTGAGCTTGTAATGGAAACCATTACAGAAGTGTGATGTTTCATAAAACAGGACTGTGTAATAGAGGCCCGGTTTTGTCAGTCCATGTTTACCAGTTCAAGTAATTTGCTGTTTTTCCCATACCTGGACTGATTGCACCTGCCAGTATCCTTTGTTCTTTAAAGAAATTGTAATTCTTCAACAAGCTTTCAGCCCTGTTTTGAAGAGATAAAAAGATTAGTGAGATTGTTTGAAAAGCTCTCTCATTCATTAAAAATCCAAGTATAATCTATATTACAGGACTGTACCTAGCAAGCTTGTCTTCTGTCAGTCTTTCACGAACACAGAGCTCCCGTTCCCTCTCTGGAAGTGGGTATACAAAAATGTTACGAGAAGTACTGAAGTCTGAATACAACATTAAAAAGGTATGGTCCCACAATAGCATCTTTCTGCAGACTGCCTATATTTTTGCTACTGATGTAGCAATTTGTTGCTTTACATTAAAGCAATTTTCTCAACCCAAGCATTTTACAGGATACTCCAATAACTGCTCACATAATAGACTTCACAAGAATATTGCTACCAGAGGGCTGTATAGTCCATACCAAATCGGTAATAATACAGTGTACCAAATCCCCTTTAAGACTTCATCCTGGTTTCAATCACAGTCAAAGTTCAGGCTATTTAGTTAACTTGCATCATTACAGAATCATGCAAGTATAAAAACTTAGTTACTGTATGCTTCCAAGCTGTAGTTCCACCTCCTCTTTTAAAAGCAGTTAAAAGATACCTTTGCCTATAGCCTCTGAAGCTTAACCTGTACATGTGATGTTTCCATCATCATTTGGATTACAATTCTCTGCCATGTAAATTACGCTCTGAAAAAAAAAGTCTTTAGTTGACCATGTCTGATAACTATAATAGTTTGTAGTCCCATCACCTGGGCCACACATTTTTCCGAATCTGTTTTGTAACGGACTGATACGAGAACCTCTTTCATTCTAGCATCAGAATGAAACTAGAATGACTGTGTGTCATTGTATGTATGCATAAATTTAGGTTCACAAAGAACACAACACACCTTATGTTTAACTCTAATAATCTGTATTGAAGAAATTGTTGCCTGGTGTGTTAAGTCAAGGCAAAACTTAAAAATATATTTTAAGAAGGTAAACCTGTGGGGCCAAGCCTGTGCTCTGCATTGCAATTAATGATACTGCATGTAGAGTGATTAAAATGCAGCTATTCCTTAGTCAAAAAGAATAAACTGTCCCTTTTGCACTGGCGCAACAGGTCCACAGATTCAGTGGTATCTGACTCTGGAGCCTGTCAAGTTTGCTCTCTACTATCCCCTCTCCCATAATCCTTTGAACCAGGATTCCAGTTTTCTCCCCAACCCTAGAGAATGTCATACGTTCCAGTCGTTGCTCTCTTTCTTTTATGGCCCGTTCTCTTTCCTGCAGCTGTTGTTCCTTCAGTTTCAGCTCATTCACTGCAGCACCTGAATACTGCAGCCTTTCTGGCTCTCCTGACCTTCGTCCTCTCTTCTCAGAATTTTTTCTTTGCTCCTCTACTACAAAGTCTGCTATCAAGGGATGCTGTAGAATTTCTTCAACAGAGGGTCGACAATAATCCTAAAAAGGTAGCAAAGCTAATTTGTAAGATTAAAGAAAAACTACTGTACGTCAGTATTTAAAAAGATACACAAACACAATACTAGATGCGTTTCTTGAAGAAGAAAAAAAGCAAGGAAAATTAAAGCATTTCAGGAGCCAATTAGTTGATCAAGTTACCAGTGAAACCAGCAGTTAAGTCCTACCTTTAAATTCAACATCTTTGTAAGAAGGTCATTCAATTGATCCGAATAACGATATGGTATTCGCCTGAACTTCCCTTCTCTGATCTTCTCTGCCAACTCCTTTTGGTTGTAAGCTATAAATGGAGGCCTGGAGGAGAAAAGAAAAAGAAAATCTATTTTTTTTTTTTTTTTTTTTAAGGCTCCTAAGCAGG